AGGAAGCAGCTCGCTTGATTAGCACCCCACTACCTTCAACATTCGCTCCCTCCACCACAGTGTTAGCAGCGTATCATCCAAAAGATGCACCGCAACAATGCTCCAAGGCTCCTTAGACATTCCAAACCTACAACCTCCATCATACAGAAGGATAAGAGCAGAGATCAATGGGAACACCACTCTTGCAAGTTACCCTCCAAGCCACACACCATCCTGACTTGGAAATAAATCAATACTCCTTTACTATTGATGCATTAAAGTTGTAGAACATCCTTCCGAACAGTACTATTGATGTACCTACACCCAAATCTACAACAGTTCAAGAAAACAGAACACGACGATCTTATCAAGGGCAAATAAGGATGGGCAATAAATGCTGTTCTAGACAGCGATGTCCCACATCATGAATAAATAAAGAAAAATACATTGCAATAATGCTTTTTAGAAGTGTAGGCATGGAGTGAAAGGAAAGAAGAATCATCAGAGCAGTAACTTTTAGATAGCTTTTGTAACATTGCCAGATTAAAAAGCAGAATTGAAATTTAAGCAAGGGTGCAACATCAAAATGATGACAGCTTAGTTATTCTCAGAAAATTGATGCAACTTCAAAGGCCTGAAATGTGAGAATGAGAAAATTAAATCCCAGAGAAATCCCAGGCAAACCAGACTGTTGATAAAGCTAATCTTTTCAAATTATGAATTCAGTATGAGGGAATAGTCTTGAAATTATAGCTATCAAAGTGTGGAGGACAGAAACCATTGCTGGGATGTGAGGATCACTAGCAAAGCCAGCATTTATTCCTTGTTCCTGATCACCCTTGAGCTAAGTGACCTACTAGATGATTTTAGAGGACAGTCTGCAGACAGCCATATTGCTGCAAGTCTGAAGTCACATGTTGGCCAGAGCCAGCCCAGGTAAAGATGACACATTTTCCTCACTAAAAGGGCAACAATTTATGATAGTTTCATGCCACATTATAGCTTTCAATTTTAGATTTGCTTCACTATTTTTAAATTTCACCATCTGTCATGATGGGAATTGAATCCACATCCCCTGAACATTGGCCATAACAGCTGAATTACTTGTCTAGAGGTGTTACCTCTACACCACTACTTTCCCATAAATGCCATCATCTCGTCATATTGGCCTCATACTAATTTGGCAGATGCCTGAGAGCTACAGATTCCATTTATCATCTATTCAAAGTAGTTGGGAAGACAGTTGGAAATCAACTGGAAAATGATAACGATTTTGACATCAGGACATTCTCACAGTTCAAAATTGCATTGATTATTGAAGGGATGCCTCATAAAGCAAAGCCTTACCTTATGCTGTTTTCTGGATCCCCCTTCAAACTGCACTCACTCATACTGTCATGACCATGGGTGAGACCCCCAAAGGATTATGAATAATTTTAACGTCATTTCAAACAATGTTTTTAAAAATAGATTTGATACAGCCAAAAATAGCTGCAGATGTAAATTAAATGACTGGGGAGAAACAGACCCAAAGAATGTCACAACTGGAGATGCAAATAAAACTTCCAACAACAGCCCTTCAAAGGGAGGAAGAGGCAAATCAAAATAGGTTGGGCTGTGATTTCTTGTGACTACAAAAATTATGAGAGGCTGATGACCCCTCTCAACAGCAAGCCACTGTCTGCAAATTATGTCCCAGACTATGAACACATCTTGTGTTTTCTCTTTGAACAACACACAAGGACAGGAGTTTAACAGCCAGTTTTAACTCTATTGGAGTATGCTAGTCAGACTGACTGTTCTCAGGTGTATTAGTCTGGGTTCAAGCATTAGCAGACAGTGAAGATCACTGTTGAACAACTGTCCCTTGTCATCCCTGTGTTGCAGGTAGAGTGAACTTACATACTTAGAGTGCTGCTAATCAATTATAAAAAAAGGACAGGACAATAAAAGACTCTCCCTCAACCTGATTGCTAGAATTCAATCACAATCAAAATAAATCTCAACTACAAATTTTCAGCCAATCTGCAAAACTAAAAATTGTGAAACTGTTTAATATCAACATCAACAGTACCAGCATCCTTCACTGTAACAGCCACAACATTTAAATATCTGCTGTTTGCAAACAATTCAGAGACTTATTGGGATAATTTTTAACTTCTATCTTTTTGGACTCAGCTGTTATTTCTAATTGGTGTATGTACGTTGTGTTATCATATTTTTTTCATGTGTAGTAATTAATAAAGTCAATCTTTTTTACAATTTAAGAAATTCTGGTTAAGCTGGCTCTTTTAAAAATACAAGTTCACTTGCGTTTGAGAAAACCATGTCCGCAAGAGAAGGGAAACTTTTAAAATTAACCTGTTATCATCAACTGAGGGAATCAGGTGAATAAAGCAGGTGAGTCAGTTCATTTCTCCTCAACCCTACAGGAGCCTAACAGTCTGGGATATCCCGTCTGGATCGCTAACAAATTCGGGAAGTTTGCCCAGGTTCTAGGCATAAAATACACAAGCACATCTGACCAGCAGCAGCATAACAGTCCTGCACATCCATTGGAAGTGCATTTAAAAAATTCATCCAGGAATCACGTGGACGCACGTTTGTTTATCTTTGTGCAGGAGATTCTAAATGATTGAAGAGGCTGAATCAATGCGCAATGTCACACACACCTTTTGTGATGCAGGACAACATCTCAAACGAAAAGGATCAGGAGAGTAAGAAACAAATGAGTCACAGTCATACATCAGAGAAGAGGCCCTTCAGCCATCAAATCTGCACCAACCTATCTATATGAATCCTACTTCCAGCACTTGTCACTCAGCTTTGAATGCTATGATATTTCAGGTGCTCATCTAGGTATCTTTAAAAGTTCTGAGGTTTCCTGCCTCTACTGTCCTCCCAGGCAGTGCATTCCAGATTCCCATCACCCTCTGGGTGAAAAAGGTTTTCCTCAAATCCCTTCGAAAAGTCCTGACCTTCACCTTAAAATTATGGCTCCTTGTTATTGACCCTTGAACTAAGGGGAACAGCTGTTTCCTAGCCACTCTATCCTTGCCCCTCATAAACTTATACACTTCAATCAGCTCACCGCTCAACATTCCCTTTCCAAACAAAACAAGCCTATGGAACGTTTCTTCGTAGCTAAAGTACTCTGACCCAGACAACATCCTGATGAATCTCCTATGCAACCCTTCAAATGCAGACATATAGAAATAACAGCTCTATGGAAATCTCAGCCTTCCATGTAAGTGTGCTGGCGAAATTCAATTTGTTGATACAAGTTATCATATTCTCATGTTGTCGCACAGGCCCAGATTTTCTTCTGTGGCAATATTCCCATAGGAACTCCAGAATCGAAAATGTTGTCCCCAATCACTCAACCAGCCTGAGAGAATTTTCTGAGGTTAACTCCATTATCATTTTCCAGTGAGTTTCCAATTATACTTACACCTGTGTGAGATAAATGGTATGAAGGAAATATGTGATCTGTTACGTCTCTATTATTACCAACTACTTGGAAAGTACTGTCATCTTTTAGGGAAATATAACACACTCTGCCACTTCCAGTACAAAATGGTGACTGGTGACAGCAGTGGTTTTATTACTTGACTGATTCTTCATCCAGTCCTGTCTCTAATCTATCCCAGAGAAGAAAATAAAAACAGAAAAGATGAGTAAGATGTAGAAATGAAAATACTGGTCATACCAGAAGTCTATGTTGTAGCATTCAAGACCAACCAGAGCAGTATGTGTCATTCGCACATTTTTAATGCTTTTTGCCTTGTAATGAGCTTCTAAGCATTTATTATTATTGTAACTGTTTTAGGATATCATGGTCCCATTTGTGGCAAGATATTATAATGGTCTAGAATTTCCATGAGCCTCAGGATCAGGTGTCAGGTTTGAAAGGGGACCCTGACCCTGACTTTACAGAAAGGGAAAGCAGTGCTGCAATCTTTATGGTTACCTCCACATGCACTGTTCAGTTCTGGTCAGCAGGAGGAGTCACATTGCCGCCAGTTCAGAGGGCCTGGAGTTGACAGCCCCACTGGGAAAGCTGGGCACCGATGGGCAGTTCAGAGATTGGGATAGTAAGAACTGCCGATGAGGCTGCCTCAACTTGGAGGCTCCATCACAGGTGCAGACAGCGGTAACCAAGTAACTGAAATACAGACAAATAATTTCATCAGGCTAAGTGGAAAACCTTTCTGTTGGATTAGTCTCAGTTGCACCTGAAGGTTTTACGTTATACATTCCCCACTTTGCAGCATGGAGCTTCTGGTTCCAATCACCCTTGAGTCTGCGAGAGAGAGGCTATTTCCAAGGAGCCACTACCTTGCACAAAGTCAGATGCCACTCCATCACGGGTAACAGTGACATGACTAAATTTCCCCTAATTAGTGCTTTATCCATTGTAAATCCCTGGACCAGGCCAAGCTCACTGTCAGGAATGCATCAGACCTTGGTCCACATTGCATCCCCCTCCTAGATTTTCTGCTTCCTTTTTAACACATCTGAGTTAGAAATTTAGCTCATCATGTCTCTATTTGCTGCAGGATACCATGTCCACACTTGTAATCGTGTTTCTACTTGAAATCGGGTATGTGTTCCACTTCAAGACACAGTACCCCGTTTGTACTATCAGGTTTCTGTGTGTGCCAAGATACATGTCGTTAATCATTCGAGGGGACAGCAATTCTGCTCATGCTCAGATATTCCGCACTTTATTATGGCAAAATATAACATTCTTAATTGTTGAAGAATATTATGTTCCAGTTGCTATCAATGTACTGTATTGTTTGTGACTGTCAAGTTTGGTCATCCTCATGGCAGGATATGTTATCTGTGTTTGTGAAATTGAACCATTTTCATTGCTTTGCCATCTTGGGCTATCATTGCTATCATTGCTTTCAACATGACAGACTTAATAAATTGCAAAATGTTATACCATATTTAAATTAGCAGCTCCTTAAAACTCTGAACTATTCCTAGGTATTAATGTTTAACATATGACTTACAGTAAATATTTGGTGCAATCGGTTCACTTTCATTCATACTGATTGGGTTCTTCACCACACATGTGTAATTGCTAAGGTCGTCTTTTAAAACGGGAGAAATGAATAACATCTTGTTTTCTGAGGAAAAGGTATGACGAGAGCTTGGCAATAAGGGTTTTCCATCCTTTAGCCACTGATAAATGACCTTTGTGCCTTTATTCACAGTGCAGGTGAGTGTTGCATTGTCCACATACTCCACTGCTCCCCACGCCGGATCACTACGCACGATTGGTTTAGAAACAGGAACTGCAAAATAAAAGGATGTTCCACAGTCAAAATGTCACTGCTGATAACCTGAACAAAGCTAAAGCTAACTGCAAACTTTGCGTATTATTCTATTTTTTAGCCTCAGAGCAAATTATGAAGTAGATTTTACAATTTCTTCCTCCAAGTGCAGCACTCTCCCTGACTGGAAAACAGTTGAGTGTGGCTCTCTCCAGGTTTATGTGACTTGTGCTTTAGTAAAATGAATCACAAAAATAAAAATCTGAACATAACTGCATGTTAATTCATTCAGGTGCTACATATAAACTACCTTCAGTGACAATAATTGGCATCTTCATTTGCATCATATTTTAAACAATTCTTGAGCAGAGAAATCAAAGATTTGCTCCAGGTGAACAAGGACCATTGTTGCAGGTGTGTAAGGACTGTGTGCTTGTTTTTGTTATTGCATCCTCATTTTGAAACAGAGGTTGAGAAAAGGGAGAACTCAGAGGAAAAGCATTTCTGCCATTTGACTTATGACCCAGCAATTTTGACAGAATCAGGAATTCCACAAAGCAATTGAAAATTCAGTTCCTTAAAATGTTATCAAAATATTTATATTAGAGCCCAGTATGAATCAACAACATTGTGTGAGAAAACCAGAAAGTGGAGCAAACTCTCACAATATCTAATGAAGCTTACACTATGGCTACTTTACTTTCTATAGATGACTTTTGATAATTAGTCCATACAGATTGTTATAATTTCCAAACCTGTTGCAGAGCTGGAATCTGCCTCAATCTTTTGAAATGCTTAATCAACAATGGATTAATTGTGTTTTTGTGTCACCAGGGTCACCAGTAGAAATGGTAGCTCAGTGGTTATGCCAATGGATGAGTAATCCAGGTGTAAGGGTTTAAACTCCAGTGACATGAGTTGCTAAATTCCTTAACGCATCTGGGAAACTTAACTAGAAATAATTAAAGGAATCTCAAAGGGAAAACTCAACAATGGTGACAATGAAACTAGTATTGTCCAAAAAAACCAGTCTGGTTTATTCATGCTCTTCGGGGAACAAAATCAGCCATCGCTACCCTAGCTGCCTATAGTGACTTTAGACTAACCACATCAACCAATGCGGTTAACTCTAACTGCTACTTTTTGATCCAGGCTGTTCCTGGCCCTCCTATTCTGTGAGTCTCAATTTTGTTAACTAGTCTTTGATGTGGTACATTGTCAAAGTTTTTCTAAAATCCATACAGACAATATCTACTGCATTCCCTTCATAAACCTCACTGTTAATTCATCAAAAAGAAAATTCAAGTAATTGAGCCAAACATAATCTGTCTTTCATAAATCCCATGTTGGCTTTCCTTAATTAATTCAAACTCCTCTATGTCTCTATTAATTTTTTCCTTGACTATTGTTTCTAAAATTTTACCTAATTCTGATGTTCAACTGATTCACCTGTACTGAAGAAAAATATCCTCACACCTTTTCTTAAATAGGGATGTCAGATTTACCCCTTTCTGATCCTCTAATATTATTCCCAAAACTATGGAAGATTGGAATACTATGGCAAGTTCTTCTGCGAATACCATTCATAACTATCTTCACAACTTGGGTTGCAAGCCATTCAGGCAACTCAACCTATGCACTCTCAGCAAAACCAATCTTTCCACGAAACTCTGCCTATCAATTTTCACTCTTATGCATTACTCCTACCATCTCCACTTCTCCCGATACTTTGTCAGCATTTTCTTCCTCACTATAAACTGCTGCCCCTGAGTTTAGTATCTGTAAGATACGTTGCAAGAAGTCACCAAAGCTCCTTAGGAGCATTTTCCAAACCTACAACAACTTCCATTTTGAAGGACAAGGGCAGCAGATACAGGGGAAGAGCACCACCTGCAACTTCCCCTTCAAGTCACTCACCATCCTGACTTGGAAATTTATCCCTGTTCCTTCAGTGTCCCTGGGTCAAAATTCTAGAACACCCTCCCTAATGGCATTGTGAGTTTACTTACAGCAGATGGAGTTCAAGAAGGCAACACACCACTACCATCTCAAGAGCAATGAGAGACAGGCAATAAATGTTGGCCCAGACAGTGATGCCCACATACCATATATGAATTTTAGAAAACCCTGTCCATAAAAAGTGGGACAAATCCAATCCAGTCAACTGTCACCCCATTATTCTGCTCTCAATCATTAGCATTGTCATAGAAAGTGCAACAGGTAATTAAGAAGGCAAATAGAATTTTCCCTTCATTGCGAGAGGGATTGAGTTTAAAAGCAGGGAGATTATGTTACAGCTGTATAGGGTACTGGTGAGGTCACACCTGGAGTACTGTGTGCATTTTTGGTCTCCTTACTTGAGAAGGGATATACTGGCACTGGAAGGGGTGCAGAGGAGATTCACTAGGTTGATTCCAGAGTTGAAAGGGTTGGCTCATGAGGAGAGGCTGAATAGACTATGATTATACTCATTGGAAGTTAGATGAATGAGGAGGGATCTTATAGAAGCAAATAAAATTATGAAGGGAATAGATAAGATAGAAGCAGTGTGGTTGTTTCCAGTGGCAGCTGAAACTAGAACAAGAGGGCATAGCCTCAAAATTAGGGGGACCAGATCTAGGACTGAATTGAGGAAGAACTTCTTCACTCAAAGGGTTGTGAATCTATAGAATTCTTCGCCCAGTGAAGTAGTTGAGGCTTCCTCACTGAATGTTTTTAAAGCTAAAATAGATAATTTTTTGAATAGTAAAGGGATTAAAGGTTATGGTGAGAGGGCAGATAAGTGAAATTGAGGCCATTGAAAAGATCAGCCATGATCTTATTGAATGGTGGAGCAGGCTCAAAGGGCAAGATGGCCTACTCCTGTTCCTGGTCCATAAGTTCTTATTATGTTCTAAATTTTAAATGGAATGGAGCATCAAGGAGTGCTAAAAAATTGAAGTCAACTTGAAATAGGAAGAATTATTTCCTCTGGTTGGAGTCATACCTGGCATAAAGGAAAATGGTTTTGGTCATTTGGTCGACATTGATGCACAAGTTATTTGGGTAGCATCTTTACCTGCTTCATCAATGATCTTCCCTCCATTATACAGACAGAACTAGGGATGTTCATTGTGCAATCATTAATGTTCGGTTTCACTAATACCTTTCCAGATAATTGAGCAGTCTGAGCCCACATGCAGCAAAGTTGGACAATATTCAGGCTTTCATATGTGGCAAGAAATATTCATATTGTACAAATACCAGACAATGGCCATCCCCAGTAAAAGAGAACCTAACCACATTCAACGGCATCACCATTCCTGAATCGCCCACTGTCAAGATCCTGAGGGTTCACACTGACCAAAAACTAAACTGTAGTACTGTGACCATTAGAACAGGTCAGAGGTTGGAAATTCTCCAACAATTGACTCACTGGCTAATTCTACAAATATTTTCTGCTATGGAAGACATGAAAGGAGTGGGATGGAATACTCTTCGCTTCCTGGATTAGTGCAGTTCCAACCGCACTCAAGAATCTTGACTCTCTGTGGAACAAAGAAATTTTATAAATCTGCAGCCAATCCACTGCTTGAAGTATTTTCTCCTTCCACCACTGATTCACATGACTGCAGAATGTTGATACACTGCAGCAACTCACCAAGCTTTCTTTTAAAGCTCTCCCAAACTCATGACCACAATCATATTATTGAACAAGAACATCAGGCACGGATGGAATGACTGTCATGTCTAAGTTTACCTCTAATTATACACGATCCTGACTTGGAAATGTATCTCCATTCGTACATCATTGCTGGATCAAAATCCTGGAACTCCATACTTAACAGTACTATGAGATTACCTTCATCACATGAACTGAAGTGTTTAAAGAAGGTTAGTCATGACCACCTTCTCAAGCTCAATTACTGACAGGCAACTGCCACCCATGTCCACATTATAATCTGGAATACAATGGATGATCCTGTTAAATATGTCTGAGGCAGAGAGTCGTTCTTATAGCCGAATACACTGACGAACATTGTGATCTGCCACCACTGCATATTTCTACCTAACTCCCATTGTATGCTGGTCACACCCTCACCAACATGGCTTATACACAACCCATAACAGAAATGTGCACACACACTGTCAACACTATTTTGGATATCAAAGAGCAATCACACAATCTTAAAAAAAGGGCACTTCCAATTTTAACTTTACAGCAAAATATTGGATTCGATGATGTACAGAGAAAGATGGAAACAGAAAGAAGAAACAAGTAAGCAAACAATGACAGATTTTACAAAGCTTGTGAAAACAGAATGCTGGAAGCGAATATTATGGATTCGCCAAATGTGAATAGTCAAAGAAATTATTTTCTGCACAACTTGGCTTGTTGAACATATGACTAAAGGGTGAAAACTTTGTTGTGTCTCAGCAGCCCACAAGACAAATGCTTGGTGGTGGTGAACTAAAAGTGAACTAAACTAAAGCCATAATATATAGGAGCAGAATTAGGCCATTCAGCCCATCAAGTTTGCTCTGCTACTCAATCATAGAATCCCTACAATATGGAAAGATGCCATTCAGCCCATCGAGTCTACATCCACCCTCCAAAGAGCATCTCACCCAGATGCAGACCCAGTCCCCCACCCTATCCCCATAACCCACTTACCCTGTACATAGCTAAATACTACAGGGCAATTTACTATGGCCAATCCACCTAACCTGCACATTTTTGGACTGTGGGAGGAAACTGGAGTACCTGGATGAAACCCACCCTGGCACAGGGAGAATGTGCAAACTTCACAAACGTCACTGAAGACCAGAATCGAACCTGGGTCCCTGGCGCTGTGAGGAAGCAGTGCTAATCACTGAGCCACTGTGCCACCCTTAAATTTTTGCAACGCAAGTCAATGCAGTCACCTGTTTGACTCATGCCTGGCTGCAAATGAGGAAGTGGTTTGCCAGCATCGGGAACAGAATGAATGTGAGGATGTAACCAACCTTCTGCACATTTCCCTGTGAGACTGTCAGGCATTGAACAAAACTAATTTGAAAGTCCTTCCAGCTTCCAGAGAGTTTAAGTCAAAGAATGGTGCACAAACATTGCCATTTTACACACATGAATATATGGAGAAGGGCTGGACATTCGACTTTTAAAGTGACGCACTTGGCAACTTTTGAACAATAAACTAACAGGTAGTAATTTTTATCTTTCATGTTTGCCTCGTGTAAATCTGAAGGAATCAATCATTCACATAAACCCTCATGTAAATTGGAAAAAGCAGAGCAGGTCTCTTCTGATAGTCTCAAGATGTGTGAAGGTATAAATAAGCACTGTCAGCAAGAGTTTCGTTCTGCCTAGACTGCCTCCAGTATCAAGCATTTGTTATCTGATCATGAATCCCTACTCTTCCATTAAAACATTCAACGTAATCAGAACCTCCAACCGAATGTTCAAACTGCTTTGCCTGCTGGATTTTGTTTTCAGTGTTAAATTGAGGCAAATTAAATACAAAGGTAAAAATTATGGATTATCTCAGCAAACCAAACAATGGACTATGAAAATTATGATTGAAAGCACAGAAAAGGAGTACATTTATCACCAGAGATAGTAAGAACTGCCAATGCTGGAATCAGACACAACACAGTGTGAGATAACAAGGTGTAGAGCTGGATGAACACAGCAGGCC